TAAGGATGGGTCACATAGTTCCTGTTAGGCTCCCTGGTGGAGGACCTCGGGATGATTGTAACCGATGGTTGGAGACACTGAGTGATACGGCTGAGTGTCGTAAACAGTGGTGTTTGTACATCTTCTCAACTTCTTTGTAGCCTTAGACCACTGAAATTCCCATTTTCTGTTCGACCCTACTTTCAACTTTCCTGTCTTTCTCCTATTCTTCATCTATATAGACAGCCAAAAGACACCACATACCGCATGAAGGTGCATGCTTAATGGTCGTACAAAATGAAACTGTTGACAGTACTTCAAAATGTGATTGACTTTCTCACAATGTTTTGGCTATTTCTTCTACTGGATAACCACTTTTATTATGAACTACAATCTTGATAACCTTCCCGATATATTCCATTCTCTTCATATTCACGTTTATTGCGGTATTGCCTCGTCAGATACCTGCAATAAGTTCATATTTATTTATTTATACAAAACAACATACAAATTAGATCTCATCTTAGCAGTATCCGTTTCAAAACAAAAGCTTTTCACAAACTAAAAACCAAATTTTCGTCAAAATTGAACGGTGTGTAACTTTTTCCCCACTCTGTAAAATTTCTTCCATATAAAAGCATCATTGCGATTCACTGAAAGTTCCCTCCTCCACTGTGGAAGAAACAAGTACATTCTTGGCCTGATAAGCCCCATGTTCCAAGTCACACCTTCAAACGGGGTAGATGCAGGACCGTTCAAGTCAGAGGTGCATTATGCAAATGTGGTTGTTCGTGTTTACCAGTAAAGTAGGGAGTGCGCACTGCTTCCATAATTTTTCAACTTTCGCTTCAGGATGCTAATGTATACTATGAGTAATCAGGGAATATTTCGCGGAATAAGTGAATACGAAACCGTTAAACTAATATCTGTTCGAGTTCAATCGATTTATTGGATCACCAGATCAACCAGTTTGCACACCCAACGTCCCTTATTAGGCGGAGCTCATTCGGCAAAATGTCACTGCACGCCCGTGTTTGCCACAGGTAATCAATCTAGTGTAGCGGACGATAGGGCCGATTCTCACCAAAAGCAAGCATTAAATATCATAAGTGAGTATATGAATGTGACAGAAATTTATTCTCGGCGGGATTAAGCTAACTCTCACTCGGTAATAGTGGGTTCTTTTAGATGAACAGTTCTAGCTTTGGAACCACTCAATGAGAAAAGAATACTGGAATCTTTCTTCTCATATCCGATTGTCAATAGGTTCGCACTGCCGATGAGACCCAACCAAGTCCAGTGCTTCCCCGCTTTTCAGCTCACGCTTCATTTGCTATGAACACGACGAATTCCCCCCTTGAAGTTATATACAATTGTTTGATGAAATGACATAATTGGTCTGCTTTGCCACACAATGTCAGTCCAAACGGGGTTAATTTTTGAATAAATCCCATTTTAGTCCAACTGGTGCAATGTACAGCTAACTGGAATCAAGTTATGGGGATTCACATCGCTTCTCTTTAGTTGTACTAGTATTTATCTAATAAGGAAAAATGCTTTTTCAGTTTGCCTCAATAACTTCGCTGTCATTGTGATTATTCTTCGTATTGCTTTCCAATGTTTTCGACTTGTTTTTCACCTGCTTCCTCTAATCTCACTGATATATAAATCAAAGTAATACTGTGAACATATTTTGGGGGCTGTAATACAGTGGTACGTCTTCGTTTAGTTTCGTGAAGAACGCATCACGCACCTCAGTCGCCATTGAACGCTACAGTATAATTGTCACTTTTCACTCTCCACGGGTACCATTTTGTAGTGTGCACGGATTGTAGGATATTAGATTTCGTGTGCGTTCTATTCTCAAAATAAATTTGGGGAAAAATCGGTACACTTTCGCGTCTGATCGGTGATAGTCAAAGCCCAGTAGGAATGTACAGTTTCTCCTCTGCTCGTTGTGTTTCGTCCGATTCACAAGTTGCCTATTCCGTTTGTTGTTCACCTCACAGTCAACCGTGTGCCCACCGGCCATTCTGCGGAGGCGGGACGAAGTGAAACATCAGGAAAGCACTTTTTTGTCCAAGCTACACACCAGTGTGGAGATGGACCAATTTGTGGAGACTGTTGAAAGGTAAGAACTGTTTTCACAGTTATATCCTGTACTGGTCGATTCGTGTTTCGAGGCGGATAATCGTTTGTTTAAACTTGA